ACAACGGCAAAAACGTTTGCAACGAACGAATTCCATCCGCAAAAAGCTTAGCCGCATCATTCTCCATTTGTTGTTGATTCTTCAACGCCGCCGATAAATCGTACAAACCAATCAGCGAATACATAAAACCATTGAGGACGAATGTGCCCGGTTGCGTCGGGTACTCCTCGTACCACGCATAACCGAACAGATCATTCCTAACGCCACCTTCGCCAGCATTCTCAAACCACAATCACTGATCACAAATCACATTGAAATATTTTAAAATTGATGAACAAGTGAACAATTCATTCACAAATGAATTCAAATAACTTATGCCAACTCAAATATTCAATGAAATAACAACAAAATTCAATTATGATCAATCAAATTTTAATTTTAGCTTCCAAATTTTACGGTTGCTCTAAGGTTGTAAAATATTTCAACACGCAATCAAAAACTTACAATCTTGAAAAGTTTTGTCCCTTTTACGGCCGCTCTCAAATATTTCAACTCCTTCGTTATCGCATACGCTCTTGTCAACACACTCAGTGCATGTCCTTGAGCCATTGCACTATGCCAACCGGCTTCCAACACCAAACTTTTCTCAGCAATCGAACTGAAAATTTTCGAAACTTTCATCAAAATTTTTCAAAAACTTCACAAACATTGAAAATAACCTTCGCACATTTATTATGCTCATTGTCAGATGATTATTCTCTTTTGCCTTTTCTATCAACCGAACACAAATCAGTGGAAAAAATCAAACGGATCCGAAAAATCAAATGAGAATTTTCCGCGCTTACCGTTCCACTGGTACAGACCATCCACCGTCATCGTCTTGATTCGACAGAAACCAATCGGCCACTACTAAAAACTGCTCCATATGTGCTGAGGATCGTTGCTTGAGACTATGAAGCCATGAGTGCCCCCGTAACACCAACGAAATCACCCGAACATCACCTGAATTTCAAAAACTAAAAACCTCCAAACATCTTCAAACATTTATCAATCATCACAAAACTAATCGAACAATTCAAATTCTGTTCGTTCACAGATAAAAATAGACAAAAAGGCTTCAAATTTGCCCATCTAATCGAAAATTTCCATCTACAAATATTCGTTGAACCTGGATGCAATTGGGCCGCCGCACTCGTGCTGCCGGTCTTCTTCCCGTTCGAAACAGTACTAGCCAATGCTCGACCTGCGTCCGTTAAAACATCTCGACAAATCAACCTCCAGCTTGATGGGTCTGGTTTTGCGCCCAATTCGTAGTAAAAATGTTCCTGAAATGATACTTTCAACAAATCGTCATGATCAATCCTCTTCTGATTGACCGGCCACGAACCAACAGCAGTCACTTCGTCCGGCCTTCAGGCAGAAAATAAACATCATTTCTTCAAATCAGCACATAATTAAAGGTGGATGTCCGAATTGTAAGATACAAAAACACCAACAATAATGCGAAGCAAATTTCAGACGAATTCAAAAGAAACAATTTTTCACCTGTTGACCGTTAGCTTCACGCCATACACATCTACCGTCACTTTTGTGCACATAATGCAAATAAATTTTCTTCTTAAGCTGAAAAATAACACTGCAATCCAATGAAATCAACATTATTTAAAACTTTAAAAAGTTTAAAATTTTCACGAATTCACTGATTGTGAATGTCCTCCTTTAAAATTTGCT